ATACAATGTAAAATTGTCAACGCTTTCAAATTTTTCATATAGAAAAGGCTCGTGTTGCGAACTTGGAATGTGTTTTTTTTTTTTTAAAGATAAAAGTCAAAATGACAATATGTTGGCAATACAATGTAAAACTGTCAATGCTTTCAATTTTTTTATGTAGAAAAGGTTTGTGTTGCCAACATGTTACTAAATTTTCGACTTGGGGAACTATTTTTAAATAAAAAACAGACTTTAGTTGAAGTGTGGTGGGACTCCGTGCCATGTAGAATTCGACATATCAAAACATATCGAATGCCGCACAAAAAGCCGCTCGCTATAGAATTCTGTCGATATGTAGAATTCGACAAGACACGGAGTCCCTGGGCTGTTTCTTATAATAGACCTATCTATTTTACCAGACAGAGAGGAAATAATACGAAAACTTCATTAGCTAAAAAAAGACACGGAACGCTCATTGCGCAAGACGAGGCAAAACGTGCCAAATTATTTTAGACTTACGCATAGCAATCCGTTCTTCTTATTTGCACGGGATAAAAAAGGAAGGAGAAAGACCGCGTGTTATGCAACGTATTTGACAATGGAAATTTCAAACAACTTTTGAATGTCACTTTGTCAAGCTATGTCAAGTTGAATATCAATCGTACTTTTATTCTTGTCAGACCACGGGCAATGGACAAGGACACGGAGATGCCCAGCGTGCAAAACGAACACCTCTCACCTGTACTAGTTAGCCAATAGAAAGGCATTGCCTCGTGTTGCGCGCGCATACCAGGTAAAAATAGATAGGTCTATTACCCAAGTCAAAAATTTAGTAACTATGTTGGCAACACAAGCATTTTCTACATAAAAATTTGAAAGCATCGACAATTTTACATTGTATTGCCAACATACACTGGCGTAGCCAGGGGGGGGGCAAGGGGGCATTTGCCCCCCCCCCCCCCCAAGACCCTTAAATTTTATGAATATTTCTTCAAAATTAAGATAAACAGTCCCAAAAATAGCGTAAAAAAAACTTGAAAAAGGGGCGTGGCACCCAAAAATTTCGCGCCTGCGGCGCTTTGCCTCCAGTAGCGGTCGCGGTCGGGCCGCAAGAGACGCCTCCTGCGAATTTGCCCCCCCCTCCAGACAAAATCCTGGCTACGCCACTGCCAACATATAATGTCATTTTGACTTTTATTTTTAAAAAAAAAACCAGACTTTACTACATTTTTGACTTGGGGAAGGGTCGATCGAGTCAAATCGAGTGTACGCCACTGGGTATCATCCTGTTTCTTACAACTTACAACCCCCTTAATTATTTTCCCCGTTAGAATGAATTTGATCCCATGTACAGTTTTTGAATAATTAATTGGCCGAGTAATTGTTATATAGTGAAATTATTAAAATATTGGTTCCAGGTCCAGGGCCGGATCTACGGGGGGGGCGAACAGGGGCGCGTGCCCCCCATTGCATCTCAAGGGGGCGGCAAAAAGAGAAGACACTGCTTTACTTTTTTTCATAGAACATACATATCTAGCGGATATTTTTTTAAAATTCATTATCTAATATTGTACCAACTTGTAACACATCTTCTGATAGAACAACCGACCACCCCACAGTGACCTGACTCAAGGTTCCCTGTATTATGCTGCCCTCTTCAGAGGAAATAGAGCTTTGACGTCCGATCCCGATCACGTTGCAACATGCATGGTTCACGCCCCATCCGGTTGGCCCGCTAATAAGATACGTATGCGCAATACTGGCATAAGCTTTTAATTTTGATGTGCATGCAAACAAATAAATACAATAAATTCAAAAATATCATGCCATAAATGAATATTCAATCGCCTTCTGTTGTACAACAGTACAACATTGAATCCGGCTCAGGCCACAGCTATGTATTGGGCGCTACCAGCCCCCAGATGAAAGGACTCGTCGAATATTGAGCGTTTGAAGAAATTAAGTTTTATTGATCAATCTTTGATATTCTGTTTTTTTGAGACTTAAATGCGTTTTTGGGCATGGCACCCGGAAAGAATTTCTGCTTTTGGAGGCACCTGCGGTGCGCTACAACTTCTGGATTCCACGCGCTGGGCTTCAACTACTGATCACTTTAGGTGTGAACCCATTCCAGTAAAGACCACGAGCCGCTACTGCTACATGTAAATAAATTGTGGACTCAACACCTCATTTTTGAATATAGGTATACATAAAATAGTAGTTTTCCTAATCAGTGCGCAAAGTCATGTTTTCCCGCACGCGAAAGCAGTTAGACGAACGACGCGAAGCGGAGTTCGGATAAGCTTTAAATGCGGAAAAACTACTTTGCGCACGTGTAAGGAACTATATGTTCCACGAGTGAAATAACTATACTTCTTTCTTAAATCTTCAATTTTAATGGGCATCAAAAACAACTTGCTATAACTAACTAGGTAAAGTACGACAAGTGAGTGAACCTTGGTAACGTATGAAGTAGCAGAGGAGAAGACGAAAACCTATACTATACGACGCGACGGGTCCCCGACGTGGTGCATTGTGAAAAATGCGGTTACCCTGACGCGACGGTCCGCGTATATGTATATTTAATCTCGCGCCAATCAGGAGCGTTTTGGCCGCATTCCTTCCACACAGGTTCACTCACTTGTCGCACTTTATATCAAAATCGGCCAAAACATTTTTTCGGCCCCTTCTCCACGGGTCTTTGCCCCCTTAAAAAGGGGGCCCCACGGGGCTGGGCACACCAAATATAGGGCTCCAGCGGGGCTTAGCCCACTAAAAAGGGGCACCGCGGGGCTGGGCCTCCAAATAGGACACTCTCGCAGGGCCCCCGGATTTTATTATGGGTGTTAGAAAAAAAAAGCGGGGAAAAAAAAACCCGCATAGTTTGCGCAAAGGTAATTCATATCTTTGCCCCCCCTCGAAAAATTCGTAGATCCGGCCCTGGTCCAGGTCATTAATCAGAGCGCATTTTTTCTTTTTTTTTTTAACCCTAGTTAAAAGGAGATAGAATGCTGTTGGATCATATAACCGAATCTGCCGATAAATGAGATTTAGGTTGGCACACGTGGGTAATGTTGCCAATAGTCTTCTGCAAATCTTTCGTTATTGATTTTAATAGGGCAATCCAAACAAAATGGCGGTCAATGCATGGTCAATGCCAAAAAATTGGCGCCATAAATTTAATTCAAACAATCGTGACATTTTTCATCAGCAAACTGTTTTTTGTGTATTTTGTGGTGTTTTTAGATGATTTTCTAGTGTTTGGAAGGATAATTTTCGTATTTTAAGATGGAAACTTGTTAGTTTAAAAAATTATTAGTGGAAAACCCGGATGATTGCAAAAGTTATGATTTCTTTGTGACAAACCTTCACCTACTAAACAATTAGGTAGGTACTATCCAGGATTTATTTCCTGTTTAGTTTTTTCTTAACCAAATCCTGAATCCTGATGTTTATTTTATTTGTCTGCTATTCAAGTTATCGACACAAGCTGATGTGGAGGATAATAAATGGCTTGGATCCATACACCATTTATGTAGAGAGACTTTTTGGTTTTTAAATATGGATTTCGTAAGATTTTTTCTCTTTTGCTACAATCCATGAAGCCCTCACAAAGTACAGACAAATCATTTTTCTCCGTTAAAAACCTCTGTGTTCTGTTTCTGCAGGAACGGCATGAAACTAGACTTTCTCGCGATTAAAACGGCTCCCACAACTAAGTACAATACATATAACGTATGCATTTTCCAAAAAATCAACACTACAGACTTTATACAAATCAAAAATCGCAATAAAACGGATTTTTTTTTAAACAAAAAGGCATTGGCCTCCATTTTGAATTTCATTTTGACAGGTCGTTGGATTGCCCTAAGTCTTAATACCGTAATGGGCCCCATACACTACGATGAAACACGACGGTTTTCACCGCCACGATGAAACACGTCGTTCTAAAACCGAAGTGTGTTATAGAAAAACATGACGGTTTTCTACAGGGCCCCACAGACTACGAGGAAACACGACGGTTTTCATCGCCACGATAAAACACGTCGTTCCAAAACCGAAGTGTGTGGTAGAAAACCGTCGTGTTTCATCGTCGGTTCAAAATTCAGTCCGAGCTTGATTTTTGGCACGACGGTTCAACATTACGTACACACGAACGGTTTTCTACCACACACTTCGGTTTTGGAACGACGTGTTTTATCGTGGCGATGAAAACCGTCGTGTTTCCTCGTAGTCTGTGGGGCCCTGTAGAAAACCGTCGTGTTTTTCTATAACACACTTCGGTTTTAGAACGACGTGTTTCATCGTGGCGGTGAAAACCGTCGTGTTTCATCGTAATGTATGGGGCCCTTAAGAACTGTCATACTTGTCAAATAGCGTTACGGTATTTGAAATTTGGACGGCACGAGAACTGTCTATTTTATTAAATTTTGTATTTTTTATGATGAATGCCTACTCGTGAGGGTGGATTTTCATGCATTTTTGATTTACTTTTTGGTTGCCAAATACGATTTACGAATCACGTCAAGCGGACTTTCTCTTTCCTTTATTATCCCGTGGAAATGAGAAGGACTGATTGCTATACGCGAGTTTCTCTGAGATTTGCTATTATTTACGTTTTGCTTCGTCTTGCGCAATATGAGCGTTGCTGCATCTTTTTTTATCCAGGAAGTTTTCGTATTATTAACCTCTTTGCTCTTTGTCTTCATTAGAAAAAAAAAAACACTTTGGGCGCGTTCTTTTATACAGCAATTGATCCATCTGCTGCCACCATTATGAGACAGACATTCCAATTTTCTATGAGCTAGACAAAGAAAGGCTGATTACTGAATGATCCACCGCTGAATAAAAGAAAGCGCCCTTTCCGTGCGTTTTTATTTTGACAATTATTACCTCTGTTAAGAGAAAGATAGAGAGAGAGAGGAAAAGAAAATGAAAACTAAACAAAGATGTCAACAAAAAGCAATCGAATTTCTCCTACTGTCATGTCAATAATTGACATCACAACTATCAATTGTCAAAAATGTTTTCAAGGAAATTTTCTTCATCTTTCAATTTTTGCTTTTAGGTTTTTTGAATTTTTCCCTATTTCCTCTCGTTTATAGTGCTTGAACAGTAAAGTGATAACAAAAATCGAGAAATGTTAACGAAAATCGATTCAGTTCACCCAATGTTTATTTAGTTTATAAATATTTATGTGAATTTAATAATTGTGTGTAAATAAATAGGGTCAACAAGGCAAGGCAAGGCAAGGCAAAATACAAATTTCTTTGAGTTTCATCAACGCCCACGATTCTGACATTTAAACATTTTTGTTTATTATTTTGGTGTCCCCCTCATTAAATGCCCCAACATCATAATTTGTACCATATTATCCAGCTTTTCTAGGTAAGAGCCCATTAGTTTTTCATCTATTCATAAACACAAACAAAAAGGTCAAAAGTGAACATTTAAATTAATTAATTTCAATTGCAGGCAATGGTTGTAGTCAGTGGCAATTGGGTTAAGAATGTCGCTCCTTATTTGCCCCAAACCGTAGGATTGGAGGAGGAGCATGAAATTATGGCCGCCAAAGCGATCCTCATCTGTCGCCCCAATTCTCATCATTTCCAAGAGAGAACTTTAACTTTAGATCAACCCATCAAAGTTGGCAGATCTGTAGCCCGTGCTAAACCGACTTCAAGCAATGCCATTTTTGACTGTAAAGTACTTTCCAGGCATCATGCCTTGCTCTGGCATGAGAATGGAAAGTTCTATTTGCAAGACACTAAAAGCAGCAATGGAACTTTTGTTAATAATAATAAATTGTCTTCGGAACGTCAAGAAGTTTGTTTTGGAGATATAGTGCAATTTGGTGTAGATGTTGTGGAAAATAATAGGAAAGTTACCCATGGGTGTATTATTGCAACTTTAAATTTGTATTTGCCTGATGGAAAACCTGCCAAAGCTAGTCCTAGTATTACTGAAGGAGAATCACATGGTAAAAATCTTCAATTTCTACTTAGATATAATATATTAATTTATTTCATTTCAATAGGTGTAGTTCCAATAGATGACCTCTATAGACTAAACCAATATCTTCAGGAAGCAAGTCAAAGAGAACAGTGCTTAGAATCAAAATTAAACGCCTTAAGAAATGTGGTAGAAGAAACTAAAAGATCAGCAGAAGAAAGTTGGCAAGCCTATGTAGGAGAGGAGCGTCTACTCAGTAGGCTTTCAGCATTAGAAACTCAATTGCAACAAGCTAGAACTAATTGGTCAGAGGATCGGTTAAAGGAAGAAATTGCAAAATTAAGAGACAACAATGAAAAATACCAGGAAGCTGCCAAACAAGCCTTGGAAAAAGTCCATGCAGAAAAACAAGAAGCTGTCGTGTCTGCTATGGAACAAGAAAGAGCCAAGATTTCTGCTGAACAAGATGCCCTTTTGGCTAGAGAACAATTGGAACTGGCACAATTGGAAATTCAAGAAATTGCACAAAAATTAAATGAAATTGAAAACAAGTGCGAAGACGAGAAACAAGAACATGAAAAGCAAATTAGAGAGTTGGAACAACACCTAGAAGAGGAGGAAGCTAAAATTAATGAATTGGAAGCCAAAATTTATGAGCTAACTATGGAAGTTTCCAAAAAACACAGCTATGATGATATAATAGAACGTCCAAATTTCTTTGAAAATGATTTGAAGATAAAAGAGGAAATACTTGCCGAAAACGAAATTATCCAATCTGAAGCAATATTGAACAAATCAAATTCTAATGGGTTCGAGCCAAATCACATTAGCTTGACTGTAAGAAATAGTTGATTAGAGAAAAAAAATATAATATATTAATTTTTGCTTAATAATAGGTTGTTTCTGCTCAAGAAAATTATGAGGAAGAAAAAACTGAAGATCTGGAATGTGAATCAGATGCTAAAGATGATGAAGAATATGATAATGTGAAGAGGGAAGAGGGGAAAAGGGTGTCTTTTAATTTGTCTGATAATGAAGGAAACAACCAAGAGGTGAGAATTTGTCATTCTTAGGCCTGGTTTATTCACCTGCACTCTGACAGATAAAAACGCAATCTAGAATCATGTTATTTGTCATCCAATAAGATTATAGATTGATGAATCTATCTTGTAGACAATTACTAGTAATAAGTTTATCTGAAGATGAATAAACCAGGCCTCAATAAATTTAAAATTAAAAATATTTAATTGGGCATATTTTTCTCTTATATACTAATATTTATATAAATTATTTCCTAACTTTCCTCTTTTTCTGCTGAAAATTTCACAGTTTTCCCTTTAGTAGTTTTATTATTATTATATTAAAATGTATTTTTGCTTAATTTAAATTTTATATTGTATCAATTGTTTCCAAAATCCCCATGTACTTACAAGTTACACCCTGTATAATTTACAAAATATCCTTCTATAATGAAAATTATTCTCTTTATATTAGGAACCTGAAAATAGTCCCCAAACAGCTGACACGTCCGATACGAAAAGCAATTTCGATCAAGTCGATTCGAAAACCCTCAAGTATCAATATCAATCGGCACAAAAAGAACAAAAAGAACTGAAGCAAAAAATCGAAACGCTAGAGAAAAATTCAGAGAGCAACAAAACAAAAATAATTGAACTAAATAAGGCCTTGATTGACGAAAAACAATTAAGTGGTGAACGATTGCAAGCTTGTGCAAGTTTGCGAGAAGAATTGGCTAGTTTAGAACAAAAATGGCAACACGGTTGCAACGAAAATCGAATATTAATTGAACGAGTTAATGAGTTAGTAAACGACCTCGAAAAGAGAAAAGAAGACATACAAGCTGAACAAGAAAGTAGGATGAACGATGACTCCCAGGCAAACATCAGCTGCCAAAAATTGATGGAGCTGGAAGAAGAACTGGTGCTTTTAAAAGAAAAATATGCACAAAGCTGCGAAGAAAAAGTAAAGCTACAAAGAGATGTACTGAAATTAAAGGTGCAACATGATTTGATGTGCAATAACATGTACAACAAGTGTTTTTGGTATGTTTGTCCTTTGGTCATCATAGTGCTTTATTTGTTGATATCCAAATGGATTTCCTGATTAACGTTGATACTTTTGATTTCATTTTATTGTTTTTTTGAAGTTTTGATCAAAATTATTAATGAAACATAATAATCACAGATAGAATCACTTAATCTTAAAGTAACCAAAAAATATACTGCCTTTTTTTGGTGGATGATTTGATAATATTTGAATTTAGGGAGTTTAATAAAAATAATGTCTTGTTGATTGATGATAATAACAATGTGTTTATTTGTTGATAAATATGGAATATCGAATGTCAAAATGTATAGAGAAAGGTTTGAACTAGTGGAATCTCAACTTTCTGATGACTCAAATATTAATTATGTTGTGGACTAAATTATCAAACCACTATTCTTTGCCTTCCAGACTAATAATAATTATTATTTAAGTGGGAATTATATTTTTCCTTCACAAAATCTCTAAATTGCCATATCATTATGTTTTTGCACAGGTTTGGTAGATATCATAAAGTAATAAACATATACAAGATTTTTTACGGAGTGTTGCAAGTTGTAAATTGTTGCTTTAAAAATTGGAAATTTGTATAGTCGACTGAGAAACATCTAAGAAGAAGAAAGGTGCATTTTAAGCGTCTTTTATTTATTTGTTTAGTTATTAGTTTCAATGTTTATTTATTTTTTAATCGCTAATCATCTGTTAGAAGCTTTAATTGTTAAACCAAATTAATAATTTGCCATATTTAAAACGTGTGTCGTGATTTAGGAAAAAAAAAAACTACTGCAAAATTGTGATCTAATGACTTTGTACGTATTTATGAAATTTCAATATGTTTTTGGATGCAATTTGAACGGATATACCTAAATGTACAAATAAAAATATAAATGTTTTGCCCTCTTGTTCAGTTTCCTTTGTTCGTAAATAATAATTTTTGTTTAGTTTTAGGAATATTTTATTTATAAAAATTATAATGTGCAACAAGTATAATAGTCTAAGCACAAACCAACATTATTTCATAACTCTGAATTGGATTTAATAATAATATATATAATTACATATCAAGGTGGAAATTAAAATGTTTATTTACAATATTTTTGAATTGTTAAAAGGGCTTTCCACCTAAGTATGCAATATATAGTTAGTATTGATATCCTTGTATGGGCAGTTGAAATAATAATTATTGTTGCATATAAAAATCATAGAATGCAAAATATAAATAGATATTTTTTATGTCAATTTAATATATTATTCTTTGTTATAGTCGTTCATGTATATAGATGATTAATTATGCCCATATTGTAGTTCCATGATAAGTGAAAAGTGAATATTAAAGAAAATGAAATTACATATTAAAAATTCAAAAGCATCTATTTATTATTTTTTATGTAACAGAAAAAAAAAACTTAAACCATATCCTGAATATCTGAGCCTTCTGAGCAGCTGACGAATGAGCATTTGGAATTTGATCTGGAAATATTCACCTGGAAGAAAAAAGTTAAACTCATGTTAAATGTAAGTACCTATGTAAATGAATAGCTGGCAAGGGTACTTCTGAGCCTTTATAGACACTAAAAAAGTCTTAATTCTTTAGTCCCTAGACGCTATATAATCTTAAGTGTTTGTCTGACTCAGACGATTATCTCAAGATTAATCAGAAATTACATATTTGTCTCTAGTTCACTTTCAGTTTTGAGCTGGTAATGAGCTTATCCATTGGGCTTTGATAAAATGCTACAAAATTGTTCTATTCTTACCGAGTAATACGTTCTAAGAGATCCAGTGCTGGCTCTGGAGCACTTATCTTCTGTTGAATTTATTCTTAATAGGCAATTAGTAAATCTGCAAAAAAGTATGTATGTAGTTAATAAAAATGTTGAAAAACTCATTTTTTTCTAGGACTGCACTAGAAAGCTATTAAAAATGCACTACTTTATAAATATATCTAGAAAATCAATTATTTCGAATAGTGTGCGAAAAGTACTTTTTCTACTACCATGCGTAAATTACTCACTTCACACACTAGTGCGTAAAGTATTTGTCCAAATTCATTTTTGTACACATATTTGATAGGCAGTAGAAAAATTTTTGTGTGCAATACGTGCGTAAAGCACCTTTTTTCACTCATGTGATTGTCGCACTCGCCTTCGGCTCGTGCGTCAAAATTCACATTCGTGAAAAAAGGTTCACTTTACACACTTGTTGCATAAATAACTATTTTTCACTACTGTGCGTGAAGTAAAAAAAAATATAGGTAGGTACTGTTTCTTTCGAAATTTATTTTTATAAAAGAATAAGGAATAACATCCTCAGAAGCCTGGAAAAGAACAAAAATCAATTAGGTATTCTCAAATTTCTCTTTTCTTTTGTGTCAATTTTTAATTTTTGACTTCCAGGTTATCGAATTTCTGGGGCCATAAGTATGTACAGGGTGATCTATTATAAATGTAACCCCCTGTTAACTTTTTCATTTGACGTTTTTGACAGAAGTGTCAAATACAAAAGTTTTTAGAAATTGTCAAAAGTTTTTAACTAAGTCAGTTTTAGGCATACAGGGTACGTCAAAAAAGTGCAGCAGTGTGAAGTTATATTTTTTTAAATGGAACACCCTGTATATTGTGCGCTTATTTGTTAGGCCCCTTCAACCTGATTTCAACGATATATGCTTTGATATGTTTATTTCTCAGTTTATCTCCAATAGTTATAGGGAAAAACGCGAAAATTCCTTCCAAGGTCTCTCATGATAAATATTGAAAATAGACATATCAAACTATATGTCGTTGAAATCAGGTTAAAAGGGACTAATAAATAAGTGTACAATATACAGGGTGTTCTATTTAAAAAAATATAACTTTACACTGCTACACTTTTTTGAAGCATCCTGTATGCCTAAAACTGACCTAGGGCCGAATTTATAGTCGTTCCTTGAATCTTCCTTGGAGTCGCGAGTTTAGAATGGACACTTGCTACTATTTGACAAGTTAGTCATGTCAATTCTAAACGTTCAAGGCTTCCTTAAGGTCTGAGGAAACCTCAAGGAACAACAACTATAAATTCGGGAACTAGTTGAAAACTTTCGACAATTTCATGAAACTTTTGTATTTGACTCTTTTGTCAAAAATGTCAAATGAAAAAGTTAGAAGGGGATGACATTTATAATAGATCACCCTGTACCCTGATATTTTCAGGGATTGTAGTCCTCTACTAGATAATAATCCCTGAAAATTTAGGTACCCTGGTATTTTCGGGGATTGTAGTCCTCTACTGGAATAAAAATCCCTGAAAATTTCAGCTTTTTATCTATAATAGAAAAAAAGTTATGACCTTCCAAAGTTTTCCAAAATCCTAAATGTTTTTATGTTGAGATTTTCCTCATGATCCCCCAAACGCCATACACTAAATTATTCTGAGATTTGGAGCCGGAATCTATCATATACAGGGTGTCACGAAAGGTTTGTTACAAACTTCTAGGGATGGTAGATCTCATAAAAATAAAACTTTTTTTTTAATAAACATGTGTCCGGAAATGCTTCGTTTTCCAGATATACAGGGTGGCCCAAATTTGAGCCTCATCATTGGGATCTCGGTAACCGTAAGAGATGCGGGGTCGGTTAAATTATGGAAAAGTTGCGCAATTTTATGACCAATAGAATACCGTTTTGAAACTAGAAAGATTCCGAATACTTCCGGAGATATTCGGAAAAAACCAACATTTTGTAAAATCGTTTTTATTTTTTCCCGGGCTTATTTGAAAAGCAATTCTAAAATAAATGTCACTTCATCATTGTCACTTATTCTCCTTTAGAAGATGGTGCTACTAAATTTAAAATTCGACGTTTCGTCTTCAGGCGGCCATCCTCAACTTTTTTTTTTTGAAATACGGACCTGGATTTTTTATTTGCGATTTTGTCATCTTTGCGCATCCTAAAACCGATACTGTTTATAATTTTTCAATACCACAGCAAAAAAAGCAGGTCCGTATTTAAAAAAAAAAATGAATGATGATTTCAGAGGAACGAAACATTGGATTTTAAATCTAATACCGCCATCTTGTAGAGAAGAAAAAGTGACAATGGCAAGGTCAAAATTAGTTTTCCACAATCTTTTTAAATAAAATCAGATACAAGATGGCAGTATTAAATTTGAAATCCGACGTTTTTCAAATATGGACCTGCTTTTTTACCGTGTTATTGAAATAGTTATTTACCCAACAAATGCGGAAAGTGATACTTTACCGCACGCAACGGCAGTTGACCTAACGACGCGAAGCGGAGTTCGGTCAAGCCGTTAAGGGCGGTAAAGGCACTTTCCGCATGTGTTAGGTACAAAATTTTACCTATGAGCATCTACATCTCCAAAAAAAGGAATTGATAAAATTAATTAATGATTCAGATTAATTGATAAAATTAGATTAGATTTAGGAATTATCAAAAATACATTTTCTGAAAAAGAAAGGACTTTTAATTATAAATATCAAATTTTACTTTACCGCACACTATGCGGTAAAGTGCACTTTACCGCACACTTTGTAGTCCACTTTACCGCATACTATGCTGTAAAGTTAACTTTACCGCACACTATGCGGTAAAGTAACTTTACCGCATAGTGTGCGGTAAAGTGCTAATTTCCATTTGCAAATACGTGCGGTAAAGTGCACTTTACCGCACGCTCGTAGGTAAAATTATAAACAGTATCGGTTTTAGGATGCCCAAAGATGACAAAATCGCAAATAAAAAATCTAGGTTCGTATTTAAAAAACGTAAGTTAAGGATGGCCGCCTGAACACGAAACGTCGAATTTTAAATTTAGTACCACCATATTCTAAAGGGGAAGAAGTGACAATGATGAAGTGACATTTATTTTAAAATTGCTTTTCAAATAAGCCCGGGGGAAAAAAAACGATTTTTCAAAATTTTGTTTTTTTCCGAATATCTCCGGAAGTATTCGGAATCTTTCTAGTTTCAAAACGGTATTCTATTGGTCATAAAATTGCGCAACTTTGCCCTAGTTTAACCGACCCCGTATCTCTTACGGTTACCGAGATCCCAATGATGAGGCTCAAATTTGAGCCACCCTGTATATCTGGAAAACGAAGCCTTTCCGGACACATGTTTATTAAGAAAAAAGTTTTATTTTTACGAGATCTACCATCCCTAGAAGTTTGTAACAAACCTTTCGTGACACCCTGTATATACCCCAATTGCTTAACGCGATTTTATTTCAGAAACTATAAGTCAAAATGAGCTGAAATTTTGAGGGATTGTAGTCCTTTACTAGGATAAGAATCGCTGAAATTTTCAGCTTTCTATCTACAGGGTGTTTTCGAAAGGGTGTTACAAACTTCAAGGACAGATAGTATTCATGAAAATAATTTAAAAAGTTCCTATGGATGTAGGTCCAGAAACGCTTTGTTTCCAAGATACAGAGTGTCAAATTTTCAAAAAAAAAAAATATTTTCTTATTAATAACCAAAAAGAGCTTTAGCCGATTTCAATGAAATTTTCACGGTTTATTTCAACCATTATCAGACATCTACTGGACCAATTAAATTTGATCCAGAATTTCCAGGTACGTACCCAGCGACCAAGTTGGTTGTTTTTGTGCAGAAAAAAAAAATCACTCTGTAGTTTTTGAGTGACAAGGACATAAATTTCATTTGAGGTTTTTTTTTTTTTTGTTTTCATAAATGAACAAACTGCGATAAATTTTGCGATCAATTCAAGCATTTTTATTTTTTCTTATGGAGTTCCAGAGACGTACCGAGGAAATTCTGGATCAAATCTAATTGTTCCAGTAGATGTCTGATAATGGTTTGAATAAACCACGAAAATTTCATTGAAATCGGCCAAAGCTCTTTTGGGCTATTATTAAAAAACTAAATTTTTTTGAAAAACTTAACACACCGTATCTTGGAAACAAAGCGGTTTCCGGACCTATATCCATAGGAACTTTTTTACTTATTTTCATAAATAGTATCTGTCCTTGAAGTTTGTAACGCCCCTCCGGAAACACCCTGTATACCTAATAGAAAAAAGTTTTGATTCGATTTTTTAAAGTTTACAAAAATCTAATTCATAAAGTAGGATTCTATGAAAAAGGCAATCAATTTTCCCTTTTCTCTCCTCTATTTCTAATTTTTCTATTGTGAATTTTTCCACCAGTCCATCAGGCTCTCGAATTTCTGTTTTATTTTTACTTTCACATTCAAGAGCCTGGAATAAAAAAAATATTAATATTAAAAAAAACAAAAAAATCTCAATCGTTCGTGAAGTAGATATACCATACCTACCTACTACTTTACCGCACTCTCCAGAAGACAGATGAAAGAAAAGATGGAAGAAGCGAATGGTGAAAAACTAAAAAATAAGTGAGAAGAGACATTTGAAAAATTATTCAAAAGAAAAATTAAACTTGAAAATGTAACGAAAAGAGCAGAGGAAAAGTTGAAACTATAATTGCGGTTAAAAAGCGTCTGAAAAATGAGAAAATTGAGAAAAAACATCAAAACAAACTTCCCCACGCGTGTGAAAAGTGTAATTTTCAACACTTGTTGCACAATATTACCCTTTACTAAAATCCGTTGAATCCATCAAATTCCGATCCGAATCCACACTAGACTGATGAGCATCATTCAACAATTTATTATGCGTATTTTCGTAACTCCTGTAATAATTCCTGTACGAATTGATTATTTCCAAAAACGAACTTTTACGCGCGGGCAAATCTTCCACGTCGTAAAAGCGCGAATTTTTCTTTTTTGCTACTAACCAGCTACAAAAATAATGTAATTTATATATGGGACATTATTGTAAAATTAAAATTCTTACCGAATGCAAAAAAACAGAGCTGCGAGAAGGCAAAAAATAATTATTGTAGATGTTCCTACAATGAGCCCTGAAAAAAAGACGATTTTTGATTATTGAGCGTGCGGAAAGTGCCCTTTACCGCACTTATTTGCAAGTGGAAAGTAAATAAAAATTTCACAAAGCCTTTTTTTTATACAATTTTGTACCTAACACGTGCGGAAAGTGTTTTTACCGTTTACCGCCCTTCACTTAATAGCGTGCGGTAAGTTTTACTTATTGCATTTGTTAGGTGAACATAACTATAAATAGCTACTCACATAATTGTAAATCAGTCAAAAACAGCACCATTTTTACTTAATAAAATACCTATCACATTAAACAAAAAAACTACCTAATAAATAAATTTGAAAAAATGCGCTAAAAAAAAACGAATATTTTTAGTAGCGCTGGCAACGTTGCCCATCCTAACCTGCTAATAAAAAAAAGACGGAAAATGAATGTGCTAATAAAAAACAAAGATAGCAATAGTTTCTGGGACGGTTGGTAAGCTGTCAAGTGTGTCAAAGTTTCGTCTGCGTTGCGCATTTATTTTTTTGCTCATTGTTCAGTGGAACCTTGTTGGAGAAAGTGTTTGGAGAATTGCGACCGATAATTATTACGCGAAAAGACCCTGTTTTAAAGTGAAATTGTATAGTGTTTTAAACTTCCACTTAATTGTAAGTATAATTATTAAATAATTTATTTAGCTGGGCAAGTTTTTGATGAAACCTTGCAGATTTTTTTTCCTACACTCCTCTCCCTGATCCTCCAAGCAAAATGGCCGATGATATTGATTTTTATCACAACAATTAATTTTTGTATTAAAAAAAAAAGGGCCAATTTTTAATTAAAAATTCCTTGCCTGTGTATTAGGAAATTAGCTGGCAATAAATATGGAGTTGTCAATGCTAAACGACATCTAGGGAATTAAAAGTAAAGTCCATCCATACTATGTACTTATCCTTTAAAAAAATTAATGAGATTCCTATGTGCTTACACACCATTGAAATGTGATGACACCAACGAATATAATATTACGTTCAATATTTGAGTCGTTTTAGGACATATCAAGAATGCAAAATGTATTTTGAATGTACATAGGTACAAATATGTAGGAGTAAGCATTTAAATGAGTCGACCAACAAAATAATGTTTGTTTTGTATTGGAAAATATTGCAAAAATGTAGCTTGTGGAACACCTTTTTTGCTGAATTTTAAATAATCTCAGTTCCTAAAAATATATAATATAATTTATTCAAAATGACTTTGCAATGTGCATAACAAAACTCTGCTTATAGAATACCTACATACAATACTACACAATAAACTGTTCCACAAGATTTATTTGTTTCTTTAAGTATTTCAATAAAGTTTATAATCTACATAAAAAATAATAATAATAATAAAAGAACTTTATTTATACTGCACAAATAAGATTTCCACATCCTTAAAAAAAGTACAGTTTAGTAAACCTATGGTATCATACAAATACAAACCACAAACAATGACTCAAGTATATAATAAATTATTACAAAAAATCATTATAAAAAATCACAAAACAAATTTAAAAAAATAATAAAAAGTATCACAAAAAAAATATCATCAAAAATTATTATAAAATTCCCCATAAAGTTGAGTCTTTGTACTAAAGAATATATCAATATCACTATTATCTAATACAAATTGATTGGTACTCTTCAGACATCTATTTAAAGGAGTAGACAAATTAGGTACCTTAAAAGTAATGTTTCTTTGCCTCAACCTTACATCAGGTACATTGAAGTTTATATATGGTAACAACTCAGGTACATCTATATTGTTATTTAGAATATTATAGATAAAATTAATATCACAAAATTTTCTACGAGCTTTCAACTCCACTACATCAAATTCCTTTAATTGTGTCCGATAAGATATAAGGTGTGGGAAGCTTGTATAAAAACCATGTTTTTTTAGAAAGAGATACCTTAAAAACTTTTTCTGAACTTTTTCAATCAAGTCTGTATGAACATAAGTTTCAGGATTCCAGATTACTGTGGCATATTCTAGCTTTGATCGAACTAATGAATTATATAACAAGCAGAAAATGTTTGAATTTTTAAAGTTATTACAGGTTCTCATCACAAATCCCAGCTTCCTCATAGCATCAGCATGAAGTTTCTCGATATGACGAGCAAAAGATAGATTTTTTGAGAATAATATACCTAGATCCAGAATTTCTTGAACTCGATCTAGTTTGACATCACAAATTTTATAGTCATATAAAATAGGATTTTGACTACGACAGAAGCTAATACATTTACATTTACCAATATTTAGTGACAGCCTATTATCTTCACAGAAAGATAGGATTTTATCTGCATCCCTCTGTAGAAGTATTGCATCATTTTCGTTTTCAATAATTTTGAAGATCTTTAGATCATCTGCATATAGTAAAAACTCTGAACTACCCACATAATTAGATATGTCATTAACAAACAACACAAAGAGCAGCGGTCCAAGAACGGATCCCTGAGGTACCCCAGACACTGCCACATAGCTCTGAGAGTTAGCTTCTTCAAATTTGACAGTTTGAGGCCTATTGCCAATGTATGAGACCAAATAACTAATCAAATTATCACTAAATGAGAATTGCTTCAGTTTCTTTATAAGGACATCATGGCACATCTTGTCAAAAGAGGAGTTCCTTGTTTTTTTTTACAAGGAAAACATCAATATCCTTAATTAGTAGAGCAGTTTATTATATCCCTCGTTATACCCAGTACTAATGGCCATTTGCACGACTATCACTTAAGGGATATTCAATCTAAGTGGAGCTTTGAATGTGACTTATGTTTCTACAAGAGTCACATTCAAAGGTCTACTTGGATTAAATATCCCTTAAGTTATAGCAGTGCAAATGGCCATAAGTAGTACATTAGGTATCCTTCAAAATTGAAAAAAACAACAAAAACTTCTTTATTATTTAATTAAAATACATTATTGCATGTTATATACCTACCCCCTACCCCGTACAAGCACTCACACAAGTCAGATTAGTAGAAATATATCCACATTATTCAGGCCAACATTCCCATTCCATAGAATTCTCCATTTGCTAATAGAATTTTCAGTTTTATGTAGGTATTTACCTACCTTATTGCTAAAATGAATTTTTTTTTGAGATTTTATGTCTACTTAAATGATCATTGGGGACGCCCAAAACTCCATACACTAAATCAAAATAAAACGCACTCAGAAAAATTGATAATTTACCCTTACCTAACATGATTTTATTTCAGAAACTATAAGTCCAAATGAGCTCAAATTTGCAGCGATTGTACCTAGTTCTTTGAAAAAGATAAAGTTCAGTGAAACATTCAGCTTTCTATCTGTAATAGAAAAAAAGCTATGGATCTTCAAAGTTTTCAAAAATCCAAATCATAAAGTTACTAAAATGATGAAATTTCAATTTTTTTTATGTTGAGATTTTGTATCTAAATGATTATTCGGAACCCCCCAAACTCCCTACACTAAATTATTCTGAGATTTGGGAGCTATAAGTCCAAATGAGTTGAAATTTTCAGGGATTGTAGTCCTCTAGTAGGATAAGAATCGCTGGAAAGGACCCCGCACACATCTTATGGGTTTTTGGTTTTCTGTCAAACTCAATGAAATTTTGATATGTGGTATATCTTGACTTACTGATAAAAAGTTCTCATGGGCCCAACCCGATACTATGATTAGTTTCTGAAATACAGGTGGTTCAATGTTCAAGAAACGTACACATTTTATATGCATTCACATCTACCTGTCACCTATTATTAGGTCTGTCAGAGTGAATTTCATTTGTTGTAACTAGTTTTCTGACTGTTTCTGACTGTTTTCGACCAATCAAATTCGCTCTGACAAGTTTGTGATTTTTGCAGAAACAGACCTATTATTAGGTGACAGGTAGATGTGAATACATATAAAATGTATACATTTCTTGGACATAAAAGTACCTGTATCTCAAAAACTAATCATAGGATTGGTTCGGGCCCATGAGAACTTTTTATCAGGAAGTCAAGGTCTAACACATATCAAAATTTCATTGAGTTTGACAGAAAACCAAAAACCCATAAGAGGTGTGCGGGGTCCTTTCAGCCTTCTATCTCCAATAGTAGAAAAGTTATGATTTTTCAAAGTTTTCAAAAATCCAAATCATAAGGTAGCTTGGTACTAAAATAATAAAATTTCTAATTTTTTTTTGTTGAGATTTTGTGTCCTAATGGTCATTTGGGATCCCACAAACTCCACAAACTAAATTATTCTCAGATTTGAAGCCAAAATCTATGAAAAAGGGCACTCAGAAAAATTGAAAAATTGATAAATCACCCCAAATTGCTTAACACAATTTTATCTCAGGAACTATAAGTGCAAATGAGCTGAAATTTTCAGAGATTGTAGTCCCTTAATTGGGATAAAATTCAGTGAAGATTTCAGCTTTCTATCTATAACAGAAAAAAAGTTATAGGTATCCTTCCAAAGTTTTCCAAAACCTAAATCATAAGGTAGCCTTCTTACTAAATGGATGAAATTTCAAATTTTTTTTTGTTGAGATTTGGTATCCCCCAAACTCCATACACTAAATTATTCTCAGATTTGAAGCCAAAATCTATGAAAAAAGGCACTCAAGAAAATTGAAAAATTGATAAATAACACCAAATTGCTTAACACGATTTTATCTCAGTATATAATAAGTGTAAATGAGCTGAACTTTTGAGGTATTGTAGTCCCTTTATTGAGATAAATTTCAGTGAAAATCTCAACTTTCTATCTATAATAGAAAAAATTTAGAAAAAAAAAACTTTTTGAAAACAAGCTTTTATTAAATGGACTAATAAAATAATTTTTTGAGTGTTCTGATATCATAATAATAAAAGCGATGGGCGTATTAAAGGAAATTTACATGTTTTTGTTTTAGCCTTGTTAACTCGAAGTTTAGTGAAAATCCAAATTCATTATATTATTTTTTTTATTTTTTTTTATTTAGTCATTTATTTAGCACAATATACTAATTCTATGTTACAATATACCAGTTCCGTCTTATTCTAAAATCTAAAACAAAATATCAAAATCACATTACTTATTAAAACTAACAATCATAGACTATAGACTACAAATCCAGTCATCCTTACGATAAAGTTAACAATTTAAAAAACAAAAATCAATCCTTATCAGAACAATTAACTATCTCAAGGTACATACAAATTATTTTCTCTCAGCAAATAAACTTTCAGCTGTTTCTTAAAACTATTATATCAGAGAAATGTAAGGGTAGACAATTTAACCCAACCCAACCCAACCCTACTCAAGCTACCCTTACATTTTTCTGATATGGATGGACATTATTACGCCTGCAGGGCAGATCATCCGCGACCGGCAGTGTGTCGATTTATTTTGTCACATTGAAAAAGAAGAGTCGGCCCATCATCGGTTGTGGGCAAAAAATTATTTTATGCTTTTTAGTCCATTTAATAAAAGCTTGTTTTCAAAATAGTACATTAAAATACAAGTTTCATAAGACGTCATTTTATCGCACGAGCCCTATATTAGAAAACGAGCCGGAGGCGAGTTTTCTAAAGGGCGAGTGCGATAAAATGTCTTATGAAACGAATATTTTATACTATTTTTTCTATTTTGGTATTGTTTAATT